CTAACGAACAGCGCCCGCGCGCTCGCTGCCGCTCGGCGCCCGCAAGGTGTTCGACAAAACACCTAGAATACCACATATCCCGAGTCGTATTTTCGTCGCCGGTTTAGGATGAGCACCGAGTTGTTCAGGCGAATTGCAGAGAAACTAGCGAGCCATGACCGCTTTTTTCAGCAAAGGAGGAATGCCGCCGGAGAGCTCGGGCATAGCACCTTTCAGAAGGTGACAGCCGCTTTGCGTATGTTGGCATACGGTATATCGGCTGATCTAGTTGATGATCACTTGGCTATGGGTGAGAGCTAAGCCATCATGTGTGTCAAGCGTTTCGCAGTCGGGATTGTGCAAGTGTTTGGCGAGGAGTATTTGAGATCTTCCAACGCAGAAGACGTCGCAAGGCTTTTGGCAATGAACAAAGCTCGCGGCTTTCCTGGCATGGTTGGCTCAATAGATTTCCTGTTTGTTGTATTGAACGATAAACTGTTTGTTTGAGTTGTAATAAACGAAATTGAACTATTTTTTTGTTTGTTTCGATCTTTTTGGTTTCTGTTTTCGAATGCATATATTGTTTGTGCGAGTCACGCGCGCTGCATTTTTACGCGTTGCTGGAACAGCGCGCGCGCTACATTTTAACGCGGCTGCTGGAGCCAGCGCTGCGCGCCGCGCCAAACCAGGCAATGCGCGCGCGGCATATTTATTTTTTCCGCGCGGCGCGACCGGCGCCTGTTGGAGATGCTGTGACGACCCATCCATCCAATCCGTCCATGCGCTGTGCGCGCGAATGGGAGGACCGGCACGGGACACGGACCCAGGCCACCCGCCTCCTCGCCTCTCCGGCCAGCTACTTCCATTCCGTGCGCTGTGTTTCCGTGGTTGCTTGCTTCCATCGTGAGTTTCCAACACGACTAGGACTAGTTTCCTGGTCTCACGAGCGCATCCATCCCATTCCCATCCCCGCAGGAATCTTGGCATGTGCCGCTCTTCCTTTGGTATTTGGTGCCTTGCTTCCTTCCCTGCAGTGTACACCTTTCTTGCTGCTTGTTTTATGCACGCGCTGCGGTTCTTGCATTGTTGTGTTTGTATGCACGCGTATGAATGCTGCGGCCTGCGGGTGGCGGTGGAGGGCTCGGGTTAATTGATGGTTTCATGATGGCAACAGCTTAGCTAGCCTGTGGATCAAGGTTACTCAGATTGGCATGCAAGGTGATGCCGTACTGGCATGTGGTAGGTATGTACACATACATCTACGTGACGTTACTTTCTGCCATTTAATACGACGACGGCAACGTCTCATGAACGACTTCTGAGGCGTCATTTGACGCCAAGTGCAAGTGGGTGTTATGATTCTGTCCAGGCTTGGTTTGCTCGTCGTACAGGGAGGCAATGGCCGGTTGATATGACGGCGACCTGCCGTCATCTATTTATTTGTCCACCAGTTACATGCACACGCGCCAGGTGCACTGCGTGTGGTTTTTCTTCCACGGCTCCAATCCTTTTCACTTTGCAGCTTCGTACCCCGAACGATGAAATGCAACTGCGGTTAAAACTGGCTAAAATAGTGGCTTTCGTATTTAGCCGTCCAACTTCTTTTTCTATCTCACCGTTGTCCGACTTTCATTCATTCATGACAGTGCCGTCCATTTTGACTAGTATTAACAGTGTTTATTCGGCCTTTATTAATTAAACAACCAAATTACACAAAGTCTTCCGGATACAATCGGAAGCAGAAAGGAAAACACAAGGACTCTCAGAATTCAAACTAGACTTAGCTAAAGCATGAGCTATAACATTACAGTGCCGACGAACATGCATAAAAGAGAACGAAGCCAGGGCATCACACTCCATCTTGATCTCAGCAACGATGGTGCCCACCAAAGATCTGTCACAGACTGAAGAATTTAGACGCTGAACCAAAGAGAGGCAGTCCGAGCGAAACACCACACTAGGAAGATGCTTCTCCCGAGCTAGCCTGACAGTGCTTCGAAGAGCAAGAGCTTCAGCAACCTCCGGGGATGAGATGCCAGGTAAAGGTTCAGTAGCGGCAGCCAGAAACCGGCCAGAATGATCCAGAATCACCACACCCGCCGCAGAAAAACGACGAGCAAGATCCAACGCCGCATCAGAAGACACCTGCACATAACCCTGCGGCGGCGGAGACCAAATGTAGCTAGAAGCTGTGGGCTCACGCCTGGTAGCAAGGGGAGGCTTGTAAAGATGCTGGAACACCATATCAACATAAGCTCGAGCACGTGCAGCCGTCCGCCTTGGAGCAGGAGCCTCCCGCTCATTGCGTGATGTGTTTCGGGCCTCCCATATATGCCACAAAGTCACTGTCAGGACAGTAATGTCCCGATCGGAACAACTAGAAAGGAAGTTGAAAAGCCACTGTCTTGGAGATTCAAAAGAAGATCAAAACAGTTTGATCCCAAAGCCCTCCTTGATCTCATCCCAGACAGCCCGAGCATGGGGACAGAAGAGCATCCCATGCCCCACACTTTCCGACCTACCACAGAAAAAGCAATCCGTTCTCGCCGGAACCTGACGTCGGAGCAGCTGCTCGCCCGAGGGCAAACAATCATGTGCAAACCTCCACAGAACAGTTTTCATCTTGTTTGGAGCCTTAACATTCCAAAGTTTCTTCCAGATCTTCTCCTCCGAGGGCCAAGCAGATTGTTGGCCTCTGTCGTTGCCACTTTGCCTGACCAGGAAGCGGGACGTCCTTGCCATGTTGTAGCCCGACCGGGACCGTGTACGCGCCAAACCGTGTGAACGGCCAGCGAGCGAAGTCCGCTCCTCCATCCCGGCTGATAGGAATCTGAAGAATCTCATTAGCAACAACGTCACTGAAAAAAGCTCTCACCGAATCCACATCCCAACAGGCATTCTCCGCATCGATCAGGCAGTGTACCGTCGCCGTCGCTGGGATTGGAGAGAGGGGGCGGAGGAGAGCAGGAGGCGTCGAGGGGATCCAGTGATCAGAGAGGATGCGCGTGCTTCTCCCGTCACCAATGCCCCATTGGACACCCGTTTTCAGCAGGTCACGGCCATGCAGAATCGCTCGCCAGGTCGCCGAAGAAGTATCTTCCTTTCAGAACTCGGGCACACAGAGACCTCGGATCAGTCAATAAACGCCAGCCCTGTTTCGCCAACATCGCCTGGTTGAAGAGCCCCATGTCGCGGAAGCCCATACCGCCCAAAGATTTTGGCGTCGAGAGCCAATCCCAAGAGTGCCAGTGAAGCTTTTTCTTCCCATCTTCCCGTCCCCACCACTGATCCGCCACAATCTGACGGAACCTCTCACATATGGCCACCGGCAGACGGAAGCAACTCGATATGAACGTCCTGCTTGTGCTACCAAACGAGCAATGGGAGCAAAGGTTTCACCATAGTCGATACCCTCGACTTGGGAGTAGCCTTGTGCTACCAAACGAGCCTTGTTGCGAGTGATAATCCCATGAGCATCCTGCTTGTTCTTAAATATCCACTTGGTTCCAATGACATTGTGGTTCACCGTCGGTCTTGGCACCAATCTCCACACTTTGTTGCGCTCGAAGTTGTTGAGTTCTTCATGCATGGCATTGAGCCAATCCGAATCTTCGAGCGCCTCATAGACCTTGCGGGGTTCGACACAAGAGACAAATGTGTGATGTTCACAATAGTTTGCTCATTGTCTACGAGTGATTACCCCCTTTCTTAAGCTTCCAAGCACATTCGTCATGAGATGATCCTTGGTGGAGAGCTTGGAAGCAACCTTGGCGGCACGACGCTCCAATTCCTCCTCGGGGGTGAGACGAGGAGTGGTCACTTGATCATCTTGAGCGTCGTCTTGAGCTTGTTCTTGATCTCGTGGGACTTGATCTTGAACTTGCTCGGAGGAGGGAGCTTGACCTTGGGCATCACTTGATGTTACAACACCA